CAAGTACATTTTTTTGTAATTTTCTTATTTTTTGGATGCAAATTGCTAAATTGCAATTTTCTTTGAAAAATTTGGAGCTGTTTGTAAGAAAACTGTGCTTAAGTACTTCAGTAAATTCTAAATTTGAAGCCCATTTCCACAGAAAGGTTTTGAGTTTTTGAAAAACTTCATTTGACGTTGATTGAAGCACTTTAACTCACAAATACAATAGTGGAAATGTGCATATTACCGGCCGGTGCAAAGTACCATATTACTGGTGAGAAATCTTTCAAAAAATTACATTATTGTAATTTTTGACAACAACAAAAACATACTCCGAAATGAACTTAACGTCATATTGAAGAATGCAATTAGCATTATCCTTTCAAAAAGCTTTAAGAAAAAATTGGGAACTGTTTTTGAGAAAATGAGCATTTCTGAAATTGCAAAAGTTTGAGCTAGTGTTGACAGAAAACTGTTGAGTTTTTGAGAAATCACATGTACTCATAAAGATAATAATGTAAACAAATTACTGCTAGTGTAAATATTAACATGAGAAAGAAAAAATAATTGTAATATTTGAAAAAATAAAAGAATAGAGTAACATGGTTTTTATGTTGGCTCATAGAGTGCATTTAGTACAATCCCTACCAAAAGTTTAAAGAAAACATTTCGTGCCATTTTAGAGAAATTAATGTTTTGGTAATTTTTGAAAATTGCACTAATTGCACGCAATATTGTGTGAAAACTACTAAAATTTTCAAAAATGTTCAGGATCTTAATGATAGACTTGACTATGGAGAACTAATTTTATTTGAAAGAAAAGTCTCTATCTTTAATTTTGTAGTTGTAGAAAGCCACTGAAAAATGTTCAAACGTTTGAAATTTTCGAAAATTCAGAGTTAACCGTGAAAATCGGACCTATTTCACATTTATGAGTGTATTTTTCTCTATTACAAGAAATTTAAAGAAAAAATTTGGAGCCGTTTTTGAGAAAATTTTGAAAATGTCACAGGGGCTTCATGTAAAGTACAAAACCATGTATTCAGAGTCAACTTATATTTGGGTAAATATAGTAATTTAATGTATGGCCAGATGCTATCTCTTTCGTACACCAATTTTTGAAGATGTTGGTTAATTGTTAATGATGATACTGTTCAAAATGTTAAAATAAGTACAATTCACATTATACATTTAAAATATGTAGTAACAAGTGAAGAATGTAATTTTTTTTGCAAATTTGTTCAATTTGAAACAATGTTAAATAAATTGATGCAACTTCTTGGGGTTTTCAACAAAACATTCTTTTTCATTTCGTTTGTGTTATTTGATTGGCAACCATTGTAAATTGTACTATTGCTATTTGCAGGAAGGCAGTGAGTCGTGCTCCATATCGAGAGATGTGAAGGAAGAGGATCATGAAGAGGTGAGCTAGTGCCATTTATATCCTTTTTTATTTGTCTTTGAACAAAACATGAATAGTATAGCTTTCCCAATTTGCAGAAAATAGCAAACTCATATGCGATAAGAATGTAAGAAAAATAACAATAGAAAGTTACTACACAGGGGCTTCATTGTATTTTCAAACAGAATGAAAAAAAGGAAATTAATAAAGTCCTCTGAAATTAAAAAACCCAGGAAAAAAATATAAAATGATGGTGAAAAATATAAAAAGAACAACCATTACAGAAATCAGAAATTCAATATTAAAAGTAAATCAACATAATAAAAAGTGCATGTAAATTAGGTGAATCAACAAGATATGAAAGTTGTGAATTCTTAGAAGTAAATGGGGAGAGAATACAAGAGGAAGAGTGTTAGCTGAGAACTTCTACCACCATTACTCAAATATCATGAATGCTGTTAAAAGAAGGGATGCCACACCTAACTCAATTAATGCAGAGAGGCAGCAGTAAAAGATTATTGAAAGAGGCCTATTTGTCACCAGTAACTGAACAAAATAATAAAACAGTAAAATTAAAATAAAAAATTTTAAAAAAAACTCGAGAGTGGAGGATGGAAATAAACAAAATCATCAAAAAATGTGAAGTTGAACTTGCCCATTCCATGAACACATTTGATCAATAATTCCTTCATTGCCTTTCAAGCATAAGCTTGACTTGAAATTACTGAAAATTCGTTGGTGTCAAGTTTCTCCAAAATATGATAATACATTTGTAGAAAGATTAATTAACTTCCTGGGGGAAAATAATGTAATTGAGACAATCACAATGATTTTAGGAAGGGAAGAAATACAAAGACTGCTGCTTGTGTCATGTTAAGAGTTTGGAGTATGGGCTTGGATGCGAATGCATCAGTATTTATACGACTTGAGTAAAGTCTTCGATTCAATGCAATTTGAATACGCGTTCAGTGATCTTCAGATGTGTGGAATTAGAGAGAAGCAAAGAAGCTGGATAAGATCATATATAATAACAAGCAATGATTTATGGAAGGAGGTAACAAAATTTTAATTTTGACAAACCGTTAAAAGCTCTTTAAAAGAAATAGAATGTGGGGTTCCAAATAGATCAGTATGTGGGCGAATAGTTTTCAATGCATTTATATATAGTACAAGCAATCCATTGAGAATCAAATTTGTAAAATAATATTTTATGCAGATGACATGATAGTCAAGGGTAACTTTGCAACAAATAGTGAATCATCACTTACAAAAGTGTATGATCAGGTGTAACAAAAGGTATTATCAATTAACAGATTTATAAGATAGAGATGTATTAAAGACAAATTAATGGTAAATAAAAGGCTTTATGATGGATAATAAATTAAAATGGAAGTTACATAGTTACAAATGCTGGGCCAGATTAAATGGTTATCTGTATATTGAAAAGCAGTTTAGCAGAAAAGCTAAATTAAACAACTAGGAACTATTTTTGAATATCTAGTTGGTGTCTTCAAAAATACTTTTTTTTAGGTTCATAGGGAAATGCAAACAAATTACATGTAGAGCAAGAACTAAAAACACAAAAGCAGTGTATAAGAACTGTAGGGCCTTGAATCTCATGCAAAAGTGCATTCATGATATTTTCATGAATAATAATTCTAACATGTGCTTGATTTCTTCAGCGTGCTGATTAAAAGTATGGAACTTTCTTGAGTTTCTGTCAGTTAAAAAAAATCATTCAAATTGCCAACGTTTCGACTTGTATTAAGCCTTCATCAGGCCTGCAAAAAAGGGATGTTACTTATTCACTATGCACAATATTTTGTAGGTCTAATTTTTGAGTGTGTACTTTGGGTCTGGTACATTTGGTCTTTACTTTGAGAAATACAATGATTATTAAGTGTGAGGATGATTGCTTTTGAAACTGAAGATTTTTCTGCAATTAACACTAAGGTAAAGAATTCTGTTGACAGTCATTCAACTGATCAGATTCAGTGCTGTGGAGCACATTAATAACCATGTATGCAATAAAAAGGTAAAATGTTCCTTATAAATTGTCTTGTGTTTTTCCTGAAGGTATTAATAAATTGACATAATGTGCTGTGTTTGATGAATGCCTAATTTGCAATAAATTAATTGCAATATCATGTAAGAATTAGAGATTATACAAGAACATTCATGCTGGTTGTATTTGTAATGTTTGTCACACTTATACTCATTCATCTCTTGCAGATAGAAGTCAAGCCACCAGTTGCTGTGTTTCTGGATGCCCATGATGAGGATTCGAACGAAGACGTTGAGCAGGATCAGGGGGTAAGAACATCAACTGCCAATAGTAGGTAGTTTCTTTTCAAACACTATTACCTGAGACAGCTCTAGTTTAGGAACTGTTACCTTAAAATGAGAGAACTTCGTCGGTGAGGTAGGCAGAAGTTTTCTTTAGACAGAGCTAGACAAGTGCACAACAAGTGACAAGAATGTGCATGACTAATTTTAAGTAGACCTTTTAGCAATAAATTTTTTAATTTATTTTTTTACTTTTTTGTTTATTAACCACACAATAATCACACACTCGTGCAACACTGGATACAATCAAGAATGGTCTGTGTAATTGTATCAAATTTACATGAGTGGTCATAAATGTATACAAATTTCTCATTAGTAACAAAGGAAATACCTGACAATCACTATAATAACCAGAAATTCTTTTTAAAAAAACACAACGATTTAAATGCCTATTGGTAACAAGAAAAATATGAAATTGCAAATGAGACCGCTAGACTCACCTCTGGCTTAGTGATCTAAAAATACATTTTTTAGCAATATGATATAAAAATTAAAAAAAAAAATTGAGGGAAATTTGGTGTAACAATTTTAAGGTATATTTAAAAGAATACCTGGATTCTGGGGGGAGAGAATAAATTTCCAATATGAACATGGAAAGATGGGAGAGAGTCCATTGGCCTCACCCTAGGCTTTCTAGGGTTAAATAGGCATGCGTAGATTTTTTTCTTGTTCTTAGATCTTAATTTGTAATATTTTATTTGTAACTGTATTTATGATAGTTTATGTGACAATAATTGTTATAAACTTTTAATGATCATTTACTGGGTTTTTGCCACCCACCATTTTTGATATGTAATTATTATACTTGTAATATTATTTCTACTTTAGGTGGTTGCCCAGGTTTTGAAATAATTAAATAAATTATAATAATTATAATAATATGCCTGAGGCGAAACTCAATCCTCCCAATCTTCTGGTCTGAGACCACTACGTCAATACTGCCTTAGCAATCTTGCACATTAGATTGGCATTCAACTTCTTCTTACTATTGTTGTTATTCTTAATAAAATATTGCATCATTATACATTTTGACTGTTTCTTTTTCTGTTGCAGGACCCTTTGGCTTTGTACAATGAAAAGTGGGGAACAGAGTTGGGGCAGATCAATAAACGTTTTCATGAATGTTCTGTCTGTCATAAGCCCTTCACTCATAAGAGTCATTTAGAAAGGCACATGCGGGTTCACACTGGGGAACGACCTCATGAATGCGCAATCTGCCACAAGAGCTTTTCACAGAAAAGTGCTTTATATAGGCACACTCGTCTTCATACTGGGGAACGCCCCCATGTGTGCTCTGTCTGCAAGAAGACCTTTAATGAGAAAGGTAATTTAGAATCGCACATGCGTGTACACACCGGAGAACGCCATAAAAAGTGCTCAGTCTGCCAAATGGAGTTCCCAGACAGAAGTTATTTACTTTTTCACATGCAGATCCACACTGGTGAACGCTTTCATGAATGCTCAGTCTGTGAAAAAAGCTTCACACAGAAAAGTTCTTTAGAGAGGCACATGCAGATTCACATTGGAGAAAGTGCTCATGAATGTGCTGTCTGCCAGAAGAGCTTCCCTGATAGACGTACTTTAGATACCCACATGCAGATCCACATTGGTGAAAGTTCTCATCAATGCCCCGTTTGCCACAAGAGCTTTTCAGGCAGAGGTTATGCACTTTCGCACATGCGAGTGCACACCAGAGAACGCCTTCATGCTTGCTCTGTGTGTGAAAAGCGTTTCACAGAGAGGGGTTCTCTTGTTAAACATATGCGAATCCATACCGGGGAACGCCCTTATGAATGTTCTGTCTGCCTGAGGCGCTTCTCAGAGAGTGGTACTTTAGCTACACATAAGCGGATCCACAGTGGTGAACGCCCTCATCAATGTTCGGTCTGCCAGAAGAGATTCACACATAGAAATTCTTTAGTTTTCCACATGAAGAACCGCACTTGTGAACGCTCTCAGGAATGAGCCAAAGGATATTCACACAGCAGTGTTTTAGATATGCACATGCATATGCACGAATGTTGTATTTATTTATTTATGGCGGCAGCTGAAAGTGATATACTGATATCAAGTTACATCTGTGAGTGAATCACACCATACACGTTTACATTCGAATTTAATATCAACTTTATCACAATTGGTGATCTGCTTCATCCAGTTGAAGAATGGTTTCCTCTTCATCAGAAGTTAATATGGTCCTGCCTCTCCTTGAAGGAGTCAACTGTCCTGGCTGAAACTTAGTCATGTGGGAGTCAGGTTCAACTGTTGGCCACCCTGTTGATGAGGAAGTGCATTTGAGTACTAGTCTTTGCATTATTCATCTGAAGCTTGTGATGATGTCCTTGAAGTCTACTGACAGTGGCCCTGATGAAGATTGCATTGAAGTTTTGGATCTTATATTGGATATTCAGGACCCTAAATGTTTCAACTGTACTGTTCCCATCTCTTCTTTGTTGTAGTGTGGGGGAAGCAGGTTGTTTTACAAATCTTATGACGTGGGAGAATGTGAATGACATTGTTCCTTTGCCCAATCACATAAAACGTCATTAGGTAGCCTCACCCTAATCAATAGGGGTGAACAACTTGCTGGTATTTCCTAAACAGCTGAGAATGGTGGAATGCCCTCAAGAGTGCTGTGTACTTGGTCAGTCATGCTGCGAATTTGAAGAATCTGGAGACCGCTTTCAGGTAATTAGCAATTAGAGGTCAACATCAATAATACAAAGTCTGTTAGAAAAATATCTACCTTTTTTTTTGTAAAAACCTGATGGATTTGGGACAAGAGTCCTCATGCACTGATCTTGAACCTTCGTGGACATATGTGGAATTTTTCCCATTTGTCAATTGCTTTTTGCTGGCAAGCAGCATTTGAGTGACGTGGTATGTAATGCTGTTATCGATTTTTCATTCCTTGTCAGAGCTAATGCATTTTCAAGTTGTCTCATAGTATATCCTGGACTACATAAACAATGACCCTGACTTCATGAAGTCGGTGTCAGTGTTTGAGAAGTCTAGGATGTTCTGTGAGACTTAAACGCGATTTTGCTTTTTCTCTGATGTGCAATGAAAAACTGACGAGAGCATTACAGATCATGTCATTTAAATGCTGCTTGCCAGCAAAAAGCAATTGACAGACAGGAAAAATTTCACATATGTCCATGAAGGTTGAAGGTCGGCTCATGCAGGCACGCTTGATGCAAATCTATCAGGTTTTCACAAAATAAATTATGGTTGGACACTTTTCTACCACACCAACTTGTCTATTCACCAACAATGATGATGCATAACCAGTTATTTACCCGAAGTTACTTACCATATACCCATTGTTCCAGGCGAAGTGCCCAGGCATGGCCTCCTTCACAGATGGCTTGAATGCTGATCTTCAGTCAAAATGGGTTTCTTGTCTGTTCATGGCATAAGAGGTGTGAGCTTCGAGGATTTGTGTTTTGTACATTTTGCTTGTCTGCTAATGAAAAATTGTGTGCTTTCTTGTGCCTCGGTTTTGTATTCATTGGAATCAGGTCAGTGTGGTGATTGAAAATGTTTTTCTTATTGGTTCAAATGTGTTCAGTCCCTCTGACAATTTAAAGTCTCAAGTGCAAATTCATTTTTATAGTATAACATAGCTGTTATAGGGAAGCTCACTTTATTAATTTTGGAGCTGTATGCAATTGTGTATTAACTATGTGAAAATTGGTCTTTAGAGAGAAATGTCAACATTATTAAAATTCAATTTAAAATTTAGAGATATAAGCTAAGAAGACAATAAAGATTCCTTGTCAGATTATGATACATCACATGGGAAGAAGAGACCAGAAAATTGACTCCAGCAGACTATGCTCTGACTGGGTTAGACAAAGTGAGGCAATCTTGAAATCACGATGGTGGAAAGGTTCCTATAAACCATGTAGTGGTAACACATGATTGTAGGTACTTCCACAACAGAGCAGCAACATGTGTTTGCAAATGTATTGCAATAGAATACTAATGTGGTACTACCTCCAAGAATCTTGCTTTATCTTAACCCTTTTCCGGGCAACCAGTTTTAATGACACAACCGGGCAGGCGGGTTCAGCGGACCCAGTAATGTCTGCAATGGAATTATGTTTACAGGTGTACTTTCGGGACATGGATAATTTAAAAGAACACTCCAATATAATTGTTTAATTTAACAAAACCTTTCAAAATACTTTTCATTTATTTTGTAAACATTTTTTCTTTAAATACTAATTTCGCACACTGTATGGGGTATGTTCACCACAGACAGGTTTTGAACAGATGCTACATCTCTTTGTTTCCTCCTTTTCCAACGGCACAAATGACGTCTTTTTTTCAGCATTGTTACAAATTTTGCGAGTTGTGAAAGCTGCTTCTTCACTGATAGTGTGTGGTTTACAGATGGTACTTCTTATTCAATCCTGTTTGATTGTCTCCTTACATTTGTGTATGAACCAAATCCTTTGCAATACCAACATAAATAATTATCTGATTTCATATTTTCTAACATTCAGTCAGGGTCTGCAACATAACTGTTGCTGTGCAGTTTTCCTGCAAAACTTGGACCCCACACAACTTCAAAAACTCGTTCTCCTGACTCTTAGTAACCTGCTTCATACTAAACCTCATACTAACGCACTGTCTTCAAAGGTGCCGTTCTTACTTCTTAGAATCGCTCACATGTTGTGCTAAATAACATCCCATGAAAAGAAGTTGTGCAACCTGACATCCGTCCGTCCCTTGATCATGAAGCAGTTATCATGCATCGACCAAACAACCAGAAAGTGCAGTATTACACACAGATTAAGAGACCTGGATCCAATTGTCCCCATTTGCCTGGTTGTGGCTAAAAAAAGATAAATATTTTTTTATTTATTATTCAGTAACACATTCCTAAAATGATTGCGGTCCGAAAATAATAAAAAAACATAATAGCAAACCGTCACAAAAAAATTTCCTACCACCTTCGATAGTTTTTATGTAAAATATTGAAAATTTTGCTTCAGGATCCAATAGACCCCAGTTGCCTGGATAAGGGTTAAACAGGTTTCTAATCAGTGTAGTAGTGATACATTTTATATTCAATTCATATGCCTGATGGTAGAACAATAAAAGTTCAGAAATGTCACCAAGCTAAATTATTTGATTTATGGGCCAACTCATGAAGAATTCCTCATATATCATATGTTTATCTGTACTTTATTCTTTTAAATAAATATATTAAAGAGAGATTTGAATTTCTCTTCCTCAATGAACTAAAACAATTGGACCTGATTACAAATAACCTTCATATTTATCAATAGAGGGATTTTTGTAGTCTAATATATAGAAAAGTGAACACTTCAGTAAATGAGAACCACTCATTTAATATCAAATGTGAGAACGTATTTGTCTGTTGAAGCAATGAACTACAGTTGTCTAACTGGGAATCTATGTGTGCTGCCATTTTGTGTGATCATTATACTCAATAGGATAATCTGCTGTTTGAGAATTTTTGGGCAATGTTTTACACATGTGACTTACTATGCACATTGAAGGCAAAATGTAATAGAAGGAATCTGCGAACTTGGAATGAAGATTTCAGTCTTCCTACTTGAGGAATTATCTCTTTAAAAATGAATTATTCCACATTGCAGTCACTGATTTGTGGACAGGGAAAACCTGGAAAGCACATGAGAATTGAAATTCAAAAATTATACTGAGAAAAATTCTAGTTTTTATATTGATTTGTTCTGAATCGTTTGAAACAATGCCGAAACGAAAGTCACAGTTGACAAAAGAGACAAGTGATAAGAGATGGGCAGCCTGTAAAAATTCTGAACGGCTACTCGGATGCAAGAGCAACTTGCTAAAGAGCACTTGCACCATTAAAAATAACACTGCAAGGAGGGAAACAAATGTAAATAATTCTCTAGAAAGTAGAGCAGCTTTTCATTATGATTATTTATCTCTCAATCAGACATTTTACTCAGCTCTTATGCTCAAATTGGTAAAATGAAAAATGTTTCTATATTTTGGGTCAACCCTTTTGAACTGTTTTTGTCAATATGTGCAAGAGATTAGTGCAGTGGTATATAATTAAGCAATGATCCTTTACACATTGACTAACCTACGCTGTTGTTTTGCGTATCAATTGCTCCCAATGAATGAATTCATCCTTTCTTTTCTATAAAAAATTGTCTAGGCAAAAAATAATTTATCTAAAAATATTTGTGTGTAAGCAAATAAAAAATTCCGAGAGTCCTTGGTTTCTATTATTCATATTTCAAGATTCATGGTATCTAGCACTTCAGATCAAATATTGAAGCTAATATTGTTTTGTTAAGTGGTTCAGTACATAGTCAATTTATTGTGTACACCTAATATGCATGTTGATGGATCAGTATTGTTCTTATGATGCAATGATATGATGAATTGATTTACCTTACGAATAGATAGGACTTAAAACATAATTTCTCTGACTTCAAAATAATTATAAAAACTGGCAATTATGTTTCAGTAGAGATATTTTCATTTACTTTTATGATTATGATTCATCAATTATGTTATGGCATCTTTATCTATTACTCTGGATTCTTCTACTACTGTACCTGTGCGAGAACTCTTGCATGTTATTCTCTGCTTAAAACAGGAAGTCCTTTCAAAGTCACAAGATGGCAGGAGATAAATTGTTAAAAACTTTTCTTTATGAATGTGATAGAAGAAAAAAATCTAACAAAGCGTTAGTTTTACAATGTAACAATTCAATATTGATATAATATATAAAACATCACAAAAAAATATATACATGCTTCTACAAGTATTTTATTTTGTAGTTTAGATTTGTTTTTTGTTTTTAGTTTTAAAGTGAGAAATGTTTAGGAGTTGGAACACCCAATAAGAAAAATGTTAACTATTTTAGTGAGAAAGTGAGCAAGATAGACTGGAAATTTCCAAATAAGGGGCAAGACAAGACGTGGCTAGCTGGGCGGAGCAGGGCAGGGTAGGGCGGAGCAGGGTTACAATGGGGTAGAAGTAGGTCCTGCCGCAGGCCATTAATAAATGAAATATCTCTTCCTGGCTAATATTTTACTGTAATAAATGCATGGGCAATGCGGAGTACTTCAGCTAGTTATTAATAAAATTATATGAGGTCTCTTTGAAGCACGACAGAAGCAATAATTTCCACTTATAAGGTGGTGGCCTTGAAAAAGTGATTTTGCTTTAGACCCTAATTTCTGAATTCTTAATATTATTGGCTGAAATATCATGAGATTTCATTTTTGTCTAATAAGCAATATTGAAAGATAGGTAAGACAGTAGGTAAAGACATTGTTCATTACACCGGTCAACAAGTTTTTGCCACAAACACTTTTACATGCTTTCATAGTATTTTTATGTGAGAAACCCAGCTCTGGTGACAAAATATTGCTATCAATTATAGTTTTGGTGATAATAGTATATTATTATCAACTTTTGTGTTAAATTTGTTAGTTTTATGTTTATTGTCTAAGTATATATTGTTTATTTATATGAAGGATATAAAGGTGTAAGTGACATATATAACTATGTGTTTCATCAAATGAGAGGGGGAGTATAGTCCTGTCAGTAGACGTGAAGCTTCCTGCACCGTTGCTTGCTCATTGCACCAGTTCTTTGTAGACTCCTGAATCGTTGATTTCATTCTCTATTAGCAATGTCTATTTGTATGTGAGATCTTAAATATGCCACAAAAGTGCCTAAACAATCTGGATAGTTTCCGTTATGTGTGTGGTGAGTTTATTTTCAAAATCGTCAAGATTTAAGAATTTTTTTTTTAAAGGTGATGTAGTGGGTTGTAATTATATTTTATCAGTTCTAAACACACTAGAACAATCCAGAAAAATCCGCGTTTGTTCGTTGGTTTGTCAAAAGTTAGCTGAAATACTGTCCTTCGCAATGGGAACAAATTGCCATATGCTTTTAATATGAATGAAACCTACGGAAATACGAAGATAATTGTAGAGAAGTTTTACCTGGAACATATGTGGCGATTCTAAGTCGATTGCTCTGCTTTTAGGTTTACAGCCTAGGGTTTGCACTCAAGTTGCTCGCGTGCGGCTCCCGAGGTCAGCCACAGTGCAAAATGTCGCGCAGGCCTGTCGTGAAGCCAAAGAACGTGCTTGCTTTTGCATAACCTGGTCTCAGTGCCGCCGCAAGGCATGGGCAGGCCGGGCAATCGCTCGGGGCCCTGGTGATTTGACTGAGGGGAAAAATTGGGTAAAAAGATTAGAAAATAAAGACGTAGCTGTAGAACTGTGACACCAAAGTGAACGGACTCGCAAAGATTCTACTCGTAAATGACAAACACAGGTTAACGTGGGGGCGTTGCAGTTACCGTACACTTTCTCGAGTGAAAAAGGAATGCGCCTGTGTGGATCATAAACATTGCTTTTTTTACGAAGGACGGAACCGTTATTTCAGGCGTCAAGAGGTAGGAATAATTGAAAGTATCCTGCTAATCTGCTAAAGAATATTTTGCCGAGGGCCATACGGAAAGGAGTGAGATTCATGAATAATTTGTGAATCATTATACAAGTAAATGAAAGTGTAAGATAACGTCAGGAACCAGCACTAAGATGATCAACCATAATTTCAAAACTGAGGACATTGTTTAGCAACTAGCTACGTTCAAACCAGTGGTGTGTGAAGTCTTCCGAGGGCGACTGCGCAGGAAGCCGTTGGAGGGGCCCCGCTCTGCCGAAGGGCTCCTCCCCGAGGGCCAAAGGGATAAGGGCAGTGGGGCTCAAGGGCGTCGCGTGCGGTGCGGCACACAAACCCTGGGCTTTGTAGAGGCAAACAGTCACGGACATGTAAATAATTATTGCTTCTAATCGAATATTTATATTACTAATTTCATTTATTTATTTAATACGTAAATATCACACATATACATTAAATAACTGGGTACTGTGTGGTCATTTCCGCATGCATGTCGTCGGTTGCGCAGTGGCCGGTCAGCTAAGCTGGCGAAAATTGTGTAAAGTGTGGCTGGCATTGACCCCGGGGCAGTGCCTTCTCGAACGATGTGGCTAGACCGAAGGCCTTTAAGCCATTACAATACCTACATTGTACCGTGTTCTAATCTTTCGAATTCTGGTATTCACCCCAATTTATTAATTTTGTAAATTATTACTAATTTATAATTCGCTCAGGAATTGATGCAGCCTTCGGCCATGTAAAAGGTCTTTGGTTTCTTTACATACCTAGGAACTCGGGAAGAATTGATAAAAATGAAACATTCGATTTTGACGGGGAAAATCGAAATATTAAATTGATATTTTTCCTATTCTCATAACGCGCGGGCCGACATAGTTCTATCCACTGTGTCTATGCTTACGACACAGTATGACACTGCACACGATGTCATGCGACAGCAAGGCTTCAAGGATGAGGCCGCCTGCTTTAAAATATTTACTATTCTCGTATTGCATTATGGATTAGCAACTTTTGTTTAATAATCTTTGTATGTAAAGATCTGTTACACTGAATAGTTACTGTACGAAGGTTGCCTTTTATGTTTCGGGATTTGGCAACCCCGGTGTTGCAATCTGGCAACTGACAGCTCTATCGTAAAGTTGGATGTTTTGAGGTTATACGTACTCTGAACGTTTTGACATACGAGCGCTATTTGTGTTGTTTACAGTAACTTAAAAGATTCATCTTTGCCCAAAAATGGAATTAAATCGTGAACATTTTCGTGCGATTATTTTTTACAACTTTCGACGTGGATTAACTCAGCAACAGTGTATGGATGAACTTAATTCAATTTTTGGCGATGAAGCTCCATCAAGGACCAGTGTTTATGGATGGTATGGTGAATTCAATCGTGGTCGTAGTTCACTCTCAAGGCGAATTTCGCGAAGGTCGTCCAAAATCAGTTGTTGTTCCGAAAATCATTGATGCTGGGGGTGAACTGATATTGCAAGATCATGTGACCTATCGTGAGATTGAGACCTTAGGCATTAGTGAGACCAGCATACATTCAATATTGCATGAACAATTGTCAAAAAAAGGCTCGTGTCGATTGGTCGAAAGAAATGCTCAAAAAATACGATCGCGGTGCTTCGAAACGCGTCTATGACATCGTTACAGGTGATGAATTGTGGATTTACGCATATGAGCCCGAAAGTAAATAGTGGACTGTATGGGTGTTTCAAGATGAGCAAAATCCAACAAAAAGTTATTCGCGCACGAAGCTCTTCCAAACAGATGGTCGCCTGTTTTTTTTCTTTTTTTCGAAAAATCTGGACATATTGCATCCGTACCACTAGAACAACGCAGAACAGTCAATTCAGTGGTAGTGGCACACAACGATTTGTTTGCCAGCTCTCTTCCAGGAAATCAGGAAAACCAACCGCCGAAGACGGATCACTCTTCACCACGACAATGCGAGCTCTCACACATCGGCTCAAACAAGTGCATTTTTGAGCACCCAAAACATCGATTTGATGAGCCATCCGCCTTAGTCCTGACTTGGCACCGAATGACTTCTTTTTATTTTCGTACGTAAAAAAACAAACTGAGAGGTCAACGTTTTTCGACACGTGAAGAAGCGGTTGCTACATTCAGAATGCATGTTTTGGAGATACCTCAATCAGAGTGGCAAAAGTGCTTCGGCAATTGGTTCAAACACATGCAAAAGTGTATAGATCTTCATGGGGAATATTTTGAAAAACAATAAAGTGATTTTCGATGATTAATATTTGTTTTTGTTCTCTAATCCGTAAATATAAAAGGCAACCCTCGTACCATGATACTACAATATTCGTGAAAACTTTTTTTGTTAAAACAATTGCAGTTGTAAGAGAGAATTTTATTTTATCTTCTTCAGTGTGCGCACAATTTTTGGAAAACAGTTTTGTGTGGTTTTGTTCAGCAGCACATCCACTGCCTCAGGCTACTGGTATTGATGTCTTTATGTAATATTTCGTATATCCTTCAGCGCTGGACTGTTCACAATGGCTTTCAGTCCCCTTTCCCGGATTTGTGATGTCTCGGAAAGCGATAATCACACTGAGACCCAGGTGCGACTTTTAATTTTGAAATTATCTTAACTTGCAAATATTAAAAAGATAAGGTACGATATAAATTGAATAAATGTCCAGATTACAATAATGATGGGACGCAACGGGCTTCTTCGGTCCCAGAGCGATGACCAGCTACACCCCTAACCTTGGGCCTGGTCGCTCAGCCGAATGTTGCCATCTTCTGTGGGTCCCCTTGGCAATGAGGATTCATCATGTGAGGCAAAGTTAGGAGAAAGGAAGTTATAAAGCAGTGATGAACAATCTGAGAAAATTTAGATAAGATCAAGAACATGAACTTAATGGATTCCAATGCTTTCCAGACCTAAGTAAATAACATAAATTTGAACATATTCAGAAATGAATTATTTTCTTATTGATCAGCCTATTAGCAATGACATTCAGGGTAACTAATAACTGAAAAGGTAATAATGAGCGTAAATGAATAATTATTAAATATGCTCCCCAAAGCAATTGCATTAAACCAATAATCATGAGATTAACTCATTGTATCAAAAATGTTTCACTTATTTAACTGATGAATGAGTCACGTTTTTCTGGTGGGCTTATTTTTCTCATTCAGTGTAACCCTTTCAAGTCCCTCCTCTTATTAATTTATATTAATTCAACTTGACATGTTTTGTCTTTCCAAAACCATGCCCTTGCCTAATAGAAGAAATTATCTCAGGCAACTTTTTTTAAA